AAGGGGTAAATCATAACTATAAATCTATAAAACTTTTCTTAGCATGTATACATGTTATTTGTCTGCTAATTGTGAGCGTCAATCACGGCATTACTCATCTGTCACAGCCTTACCCTGCCCGTGGATCAGCATGGCATCGATGGCTCCTTCCGCAGTGCCCTTGTCCACATGGCGCCACACTGCGGGAGGCAGAGCAAGGGGAGGGCGTTTGTGCCGGCAGAGGCGTTCCTGCCTTACCGACAGGGGTTAAACCCGGGCTGCCCACAGAGCCGGCCCTCAGACAGGGGTTAAACCGGGCTGCTCACGGAGCCGGCCCTCAGACACGGGTTAAACCGGGCTGCTCACGGAGCCAGCCCTCAGACGGGGCTGTGAGCCCGCCGGCCGAGCCCTCCCGCCCGCCGGGGCCGCACGGCAGCGTTAAACCAAAGGCACCCGCAGGGACCCTGAGTTTAACACCGGCACCTCTCAGGGACCCTCAGAGTTAAACCCCGGCACCTCTCAGTGACCCTGAGTTAAACACCGGCACCCCTCAGGGACCCTCAAAGCGGCCACTCACGGATTTCGCCGCTCCGCGAGTTCAGGGCGGCCACCACGTTCTCCTCCGTAGCCACAACGAGCTTCTTCGAGCCCTGCGAGGCCTCCAAGGAGGCGAACTTGAGTTTCCCCACGTACTGCTGCCTCCTGCGAGAGGGAACGGCAGCAACGCTGAAATGGGACAGGGGCGGGAGCGGCGGGGCGGGCGCGGGGCCTGTCCGCGGGAGCGGGGAGCGAACCCAGCGGGACCCCGACACTCACCAGTCGAACTTGCCCACTTGGTCCTCATAGACGGCGGCGGCCAAGGGCAGCAGGAGCAGGAAAGGTAAGAGGAGCAGGACGGGCTGCAGCACTGCCGCCATGACAGCGGCCCCGGCGCCCGGGGGCCTTCTGCGCTTCGGGGCCGCCCGCGCCGCCGCCTGAGCGGGGAAAGGGCGTCAGCGCAGCGAGGAGGGCGCAGGCAGCGCGCGGAACAGCCCCGGCCGCTCCCGGCAGCCCGCGCGCGGCGCGGGGGCCTCGGAGCACGGCGGAGCCATGCCCAAGTCCAAGCGGGACCGCAAAGGTGCGAGCGGGGCCGGAGCGGGGCTGTGCCGAGCCCCTGAGGGGCGCATCCTTGTCCTCCCCATTCCTGTTCCATACCCTACTCCTGCCCCCTTTCCTGTCGCTTTCTCATTCCTGGATCACATCCCTCATCGCCCCCTTCGCCGTCCCCTTCCCTACTCCTGTCCCCTTCTCCGTCGTTTTCTCATGTCTCGGCCCCATCCATCGCCGCCTTCCCTCTCCCCGTCCCCTTCCCTTGTCCTTTACCCCATCGCTATCTCCTTGCCCATCTCCGTTCCCTTCTCCATCACCATCCCTTCTTCCATCCTGCATTCCCCCCTCCATCCCCTCTCCCATCCTCCATTCCCCCTCCATTCCCCCTCCATCCCTGACGCTCTCTCCCTCCTGTCCCCGCAGTGTCCCTGACGCGGACGCCCCGCAAGGGGCTGGAAGCCAAGCAGGCGCTGATCGCCGAGGTGAGTCTGGCCCCGAGCCCGGGTCTCTGTCCCCTTCCCCCTGCCCTGCCCGTTCCCCCCGTGCCCTGTGCCCGTCCCGGTAACGGCTCCCCCGCAGCTGCGGCGCTGTGTGGACACCTACAAGTACATCTTCGTGTTCTCGGTGGCCAACATGAGGAACAACAAGCTGAAGGATGTGCGGAACGCCTGGAAGCACAGCAGGTGGGCAGGGGTGCTGCGGGGTGGGGATGGCCAAGGGGGGAGCTCCAGGGCTGATCTTCCTCCTCCTCCTCCTCCCGGGCAGGATTTTCTTTGGGAAGAACAAGGTGATGATGGTGGCGCTGGGCCGGGAGCCGAGCAGCGAGTACAAGGAGAACCTGCACAAGGTACCTGCTGAGCTCCTCTGGGTGCCCCAAAGCTTCACCTGGTGCATTCCCCATCCTGGGGAACATCCTGGGGTCACCTTTCTGTGGAGGTGCTAACTGGGTCCATCCATGCCCTGCCAGGAGGGCTCTGTTGGGTGCAGCAGTGCAGGCTGAGCCCTGCAGTGAGTCCCTTCTGTTCCCCTGTCCCCATGGATGCTCCTTTCCTCCAGGTCAGCAAACACCTCAGAGGGGAGGTCGGGCTGCTCTTCACCAACCGCACCAGGGACGAGGTGGATGAGTGAGTACCAGCCTGGCACAGCCTTTTCATTGCCACACAACCCCAGCAGGCCCTGCTGCTTCCCTTACAGCAGGGATGCTCTCATGGGCCTTTCCCAGCCCCACCTGTGACAGCAGAAACCATGGGAGGGTTTGGGTTGGGAGGGACCTTCAGGCCCACCTCATTCCACCCCCTTGGGCACTTCCAGGGATGCAGGGGCAGCCACAACCTCCCTAAGCAGCAGCAGACCCTGGGGAGGTGTCAGGGTCCGTCCTAGTGAACACATGACCTGATGGTTCGTAGGAATGATCTCAGAGTGCAAAAACCAACATGGTACAAGGGGGTTTGCAGTGATAATCAAAACAAATGCAGTTTTACTGAAATAACCACAGCAGAAATGCAATAGAGGGATTAAGGGAGAGGAAAAGATAAAGAGAGAGAGGGAGGGAGAGGATATAGCTACCAATGCAGAGATGAAGTCCTTTGGTCCAGTCCAGCCGAGAGTCCGCCTGTTGCGCTGGGGAGATCTCAAAGGCTCTAGCTAACTCAGAGGGTTTTATTACTGAAAATTGTGAGGGAGAGGAAACAGATACAATAGGGAACAGATGTAACAGGTAGTCCATGTTCTCAGCAGTAAATGAGAGCCATTGTTTTCCTGGTCCAGTGGTCACAACCTGCAGGCAAACATCTCGCTTCGGTCAGCTTGCCTCTCCACACACCTCCCCCAGGTTTGGGGTCTCAGTCCCAGTCCTTGGAAGGAGCAGAGGGGTCTTTTGGGAGTTTCATGTCTCAGTCCTTGATGGAGAAGCTCCTTACATCCCAGTCTGTCTGTGATGGTGGTTGTAAAACAGGTGAGGGCCTTCTGTGGGACACACCTGAAACTCAGGAGAAGTCCAGCCAGGCCGAGAGCTGGGACAGCTTCCAGAGCTGCTGTTGTTGCAAACGGGGCACGGTGCCCCCTTGTTAGCATACAGCAAACACTCCTGTGAAAACAATAGCTTAACACTGAGCTTTCAGATCTCAGGGCCTTGTTGGTGTGTGACTTTTCTCCTTCAGAGCCAGATATTCTAGACGGGGGGGTCTTCTCTTCATTGGTCTCCCAAGGACGATTGTGAGGCAGATGAGGGAAAATTGAGACAGACTGTCACAGGAGGCTGTGCCCCAGTCCCTGTGTGAGCCCAGGGCTGTTCCTGCCCCAGCTGAAGCTCCTGTTGCCCCCCTGTGTCCCAGGTGGTTCTCCAGGTTCCGGGAGCTGGACTTTGCCCGTGCTGGGAACAAGGCTCCCTACGGGGTCAGCCTGGACACGGGGCCCCTGGAGCAGTTCCCCCACTCCATGGAGCCGCAGCTGCGGCAGCTGGGGCTGCCCACGGCGCTGAAGAAAGGTACAGCAGGGCCAGGCTGGGGTGGCTGTGCTCCTGGGGACACTGAGGGGCACTGCTACACACACAGCAGCTTTGGGGCTGGAGAAACCTGAGGGACACCTTTGTCCTTGTGGGGTGGGGCTAGAACTCCTTCTGTCCTTGTGCTGTTGTTCCCAAACTCGTGTCAAAGGCTGAGTAAAGCCCCCAGATTTCTGCAGAATGCCTTCCCATTCCAGCAGAAACAGCTCAAGACCCACTCAGGAACCAAGTGTGGGGCTTTGGAGCTGATCTCTCTCCTTGGGGTGCTCTGAGGCTGCATGGGAAGGTGTCAGCTCCAAGGGGTGGTGGAGGGAGTGCTGGCTCTGCCCCCACATTCCAGGGGACCCCCAGTGTCTGGGGTCCCATTTCAGGGGAGCCCCAGTGTCTGGATCCCATTTCAGGGGTCCCCCAGTGCCTGGGATCCATTTCCAGGGGATCCCATTTCCAGGGCAGCCCCCAGTGCTTGGGACCCCATTTCCAGGAGATCCCATTTCCTGTGGAGCCCCCAGGGCCTGGGACCCCATTTCCAGGGGTGCCCCAGTGCCTAGGGTCCCATTTCAGGGGTGCCCCAGTGCCTGGATCCCATTTCAGGGGTCCCCCAGTGCCTGGGATCCCATTTCCAGGGGAGCCCCAGTGCCTGGAATGCCATTTTCAGGGGTTCCCATTTCCAGGGGTCCCCCAGTGCCTGGGATCCCATTCCAGGGCAGCCCCAGTGCCTGGAATGCCATTTCCAGGGGTCCCCCAGTGCCTGGGATCCCATTTCAGGGTGTTGCTTGCAGGAGTGGTGACACTGCTGTCGGATTATGAAGTGTGCAAGGAAGGGGATGTTCTCACCCCAGAACAGGCCCGAGTGCTGGTGAGTAACAGCAGCCCTGACACAAAATAACTCATTAACACATCTCCTAAAACCCAGCAGCAATTATTTTGGTTCCTGCTTTGCTTCACTTCCCCCCTGGAAGCAGAATTTACTGTTTTGCTGGGCTGGGCACAGAGACAGTAAAGCAGGAATGATGGATTTGTGTCCTCTCCTAGAAACTCTTTGGCTATGAGATGGCAGAATTTAAAGTCACCATGAAGTTTCTGTGGAATTCTGAGACAGGAGACTTCCAGAAGCTCGTGGGAGATGCAGCAGAGGAGGAGGAAGAGGAGGATGATGATGATGATGATGATGACAGCAATGAGGACTAACAGCTTGGCCACCAGACAGTTCTATTTTAGGGACAAAAAAAGGAGGATATTTCCCTTCCCTGGGTACACCTGGACTGGCATGATCTTTATAGAAAATGACCTAGCTATGCTTTTTTTATATTTATATAAATATCTATGTGAAACTTCAGACAGTTGTTGCTGCTGTTGCTTCTGTTAGTGATGGTGGATCCTGGGATCTGAAGAAATGCCAGCTCAAACATGAAAACTGGGCAGGAAGGGTGTAAATGAAATGGAATTTTGATAGAGCACAAAGGGAAAGATGCTGAGGTTTGTTATTCTGAGACAGAAGAAGATCCTTAGCTCAACCCTTGGAATTTTGCCTTATCCCTGGCAGTGCCCAAGGCCAGGCTGGGTGGGCTTGGAGCACCCTGGGATAGTGGAAGGTGTGGGGGTGGAACAAGATGGGATTTAAGGACTGTCCAACCCAATCCATCCTGATATTCTGTGATTCAAAGTCCCCAAGTGCTGCCAAAGAGATGCCATGTTCCAGGCACAGGTCAGACATGGGCTCTGCACTAGAAAGAGATTTTATTCTTCTATGTAATCATTTAAGATTTCACATTAAAGCAGAACAGGGGCTTCACCTCGTTCTGATGTTCATTTTCCTGATCAGCTGCATCCTGAATCACGGGCTGTGCTGGGGGAGCTGAGTGAGGGGCTGGCAGGGAAAAGGCACGGGCGTGGATCCTACAAAGCTTCACTGATTCAGGAAACCCCCAGAGCCCTCCAGCCGTGGGTGGGAGGGCAGGGTGGGCAGGACCTGTCCTGAGCCTGTGCCAGGCGTGCCTCCCTCCCTCCCTAGCGGAAGTAGTTGGGGCAGTCGTGGGCGCTCAGGTTCCAGGCCTGGTCAAACGCCTGCACCACGGCCGGCAGCAGGGGCCCCTCCTCGCTGTAGTTGAGGTTCTGCTCCAGCTGCTCCATGTTGGACATGCCAATGATCACTGCATCTCCGAGAGAGCCCTGGGAACATGTTGCAGTGTGTTATAACAGCCTCTTTTGAACTCCCGGGTCCCTTCCCCAGGTGTGCCAACACCCCCCTCTCCCTTCCCCCTCGCCCCTTGCTGAGTGAGTCCTGTCAATCAGGCTCAACATTCCAGCAAGGAATGTGTGGTTGGTCAAGTTCAAAGGATGCCCCTCAGGCCTGGGGGTCGTTGGCCTGTCTGGGTGTCCCTCGTCCCTTGAGACCCTGCCCCTTCCATCTGGTTGGTGCTCACCTGTCCCCTCCCCTGCCCCTGTCCCTGAGCTTAAAAGGTGAATCAGGCCATGCGGCCGGGATTCTGTTGGAGCTGTTGCTCACGTTCAGCCCTCTGTAACCATGGAATAAACCTCTGGATATAAACCCTCCAGCAGAATCCATCTCCTTTTCTCTTCACCATCACCTGAAGCTTTCCTCCTGAGGTAAACGGAGTTCCTACCAAGCCTGGACTCGTTGAGTGCCCAGCTGCAATCTCCAGCAAGCCAAAGGTGTCTCTGGGGTGGTACACAACAGTTGCTGCCTTTGGCCCAGCAGTGAGGGTCAGACTGGCCCAGGCACCATCTAAATGGTAATATTGGGATTCATATTCTGATAGGAACACATGGGAAGGGTTGCTGATCCCAAAAGGAAGTTCACCTCCTGAATACCGTGGGCCAAACAAAGCATTTCTTTCCACTAAAGAACTCCTGAAGAAAGGTACAGCAGGGCCAGGCTGGGGTGGGTGGCTGTGCAGCTGGGATCCCTGAGGGACAGTGCTACACACAGAGCAGCATTTGGGGCTGGAGAAAACCTGAGGGACACCTTTGTCCTTGTTGGGCTGGGGCTAGAACTCCTTCTGTCCTTGTGCTGTTGTTCCCAAGCTCGTGTCAGAGGCCGAGTAAAGCCCCCAGATTTGTGCAGAATGCCTTCCCTTTCCACTGGAAACAGCTCAGATTAACCCACTGAGGAACCAGGTGTGGGGTTTTGGAGCTGATCTCACCCATCTCCTTGGAGTGCTCTGATGGAATTAAGCAAACAGTTGCTCCAGGAATTAAGCAACTGACACCACAAATTCTGCTCACTAGGCCAGGACATTCCCAAGGCACCCCAAATCCTCAGAAGCTGCCAAATCCTACTTTATGATGGGCTGGAGGAACATTTGGGGAACATCAGGAACTCTAAGCATGAGGTTCCTAGTCCAGTGAAAGGTCAGTCCTCTCCTTGCAGGGAAGCCAAGACCCCAGTAACTGGCATCTAAAATCTTCCACTTGAAGCTTCCAGCTCTGACCACATGGGAGAAGGCAGAGCTGCCTCTCTCCTGCTGCCTGGCAGAGTCTGTACAGCAATATTCACTTTGGAATGCCACAATGCCATGGGATTAAAAGACACCTATGCTGAAATTTCCCTGTTTGTGGGTCATGGCAGCAGTGCCCAGCCAAGCTCTCACCTGCAGTTTGGAGTGGTGGTAGAGCCAGCGCAGAGCAGCAGAGGCCAGGCTGGGTGCAGTGGAGCCATAAGCCTCTTTCAGAGCTTTTTCTACCAGTGCAATTCCCTCAAAATTGTGTTTTTTCCAGTACCTGCCAAAAAAAAAATAATCATTGTAACTGCCCTTGGGATCTCCAGTCAGTGGTACATCTATATTCCAATCAAAGGGCTTTCAGGAAGCCTCATACAACTCTTTGTAGCCTCTGAGGACTTCTGCAGGCTCCCTTGGGAGCTGTGAGGAAGCTGAGCCTAAAACTCACCCTGCAAAGCTCAGTCACACACCACAGCCCCAACCACGTGTGCTGACACAACCCCAAGCTCTGGTCAATTCTGCTCCCTCTCAGCTGACTATCGGAGTGTTTTTTTCATGCAGCCACTCCTGCTTGTCTGTCAGCTCAGGACATACCTGTCCCTGTAGGCCTGAGCCCAGTCATTCCCAAAAAACCTGCCGGTGGGCTGGCGCGTGTCCTTGTCCTCGTACTTGTACTTGCCGGTCAGCAGCCCCCCTGGGAGGGAAGCGAGCAGCAGATTCGGGGTTGGGCTGGCTCTGCAGAGCCCCCACTCCTCAGAGCTCTGTCCCAAGCCTTGGCCCTGTACCTGCCAGCGGGTTGTAGGCGTAGAAGCGCAGCCCGAAGTGCCTGAGGCAGGGGAACAGCTCGGCCTCCACCTGGCGCGTGGTCGCGTTGTACATTCCCTGCACGGGGTGGGAAAGGCCTCACACAGAGCTCAGGGCACAGCAGCTGCCCCTTCCCACCCTTCCCTGGCAATGCCCATCCCAGAGAGCGGCCTCAGGTCACACAAGGTGATGATTTGTTTAGGAACAGACTCGCTGAAGGACTGTAAATAACTGAAATTCCATGGCAGGGGAGTCGCTGGCTCCAGCAATGAACACACTGAGCTGTTTCTGAGCAGTGACCTCCCTCAGCTTCCTGCACTTCCTCACTGAAAGGGTGCTCAGGCCTTGAAGGGGCTGCCCAGGGAGGTAGTGGAGTCCCCATCCCTGGAGGTGTCAAAGGAAGGCCTGGATGTGGCACTCAGAGCTCTGGGTTGGGTGACAAGGTGGGCACTGGGCACAGTTGGGATTGGAGGTTGTTCCCAGCCTCAGTGACTCTCTGACTTCCCAGACTAACTGCAGCAGATTCCTTCTGTGTTTATATCTGACACACTGGGGCCAGATTTGGGAAGCCCAGATCCAAGCCTCCCTGCTCCCTCACCTGGTACACAGTTGGCATCACCCAGTTGTTGTACTTGCAGATGGTGCAGATTTCTGCCACCTCCCATGAGGCGTAGTTTGACAGGCCAAGCTCTTTAAACTTCCCCTGCAGAGGAATAAAAGGGAATTCACAGCCAGTGTTTCAAAGTTCATCTGGACCCAGACAGCACAAGATGGGTACAGTGAAAAGGACACAAATTTTAGTCCAGAAGGGTTAATTCCTGTCCACCTTTTCTGACAGACTATGAATTATTAAGACATGACAAAAATATTCCCCATTTTCTGTTCATTTGGAATTCACACCTTCTAGTTGAAATGATATAACCAGATAAATGAAACTCAGCAATTCTCTACCCATTACCAGCACTAATTTTAACCCAGACTGTTAACAGGGCTGGAAGCAAAGTCCAGATGTTCCAAGAGCTCTTGGGAACAAAGTGCACCACGTGAGCACACAGAGAGCAGTGGCTGCTCAGCTCTGCTCCCCTTCTCAGAGCTGGACAAACCCAGAGCTGCAGACGGGCACAACAAGCAGCCCTGGTTTAAAAAAAGCAGTGGGAAGGAGGGAATCAAGGATTGTCCAGGCTTGGACTCTGCACTTCACCTCTTTGTGCAGCTCGTTGCAGGCACGCAGGGTTTCCTCCACCGGGGTGCCGTGGTCAGGAGCGTGGAGGTAGAAGAGCTCCACACTCGTCCTCTGCAGCCTCTCCAGGGACGTGTCCAGCTGGGAGCGCACGCTCTCCGCCTTCAGCGTCTTCCCGTCCCACGGGTTGGCCTTGGTGGCCACTTCCACTGGCAGAGAGAGGAGGAATGAGCAAGGATCTTTCTACCTTGAGGAGGAGAGTGGGGATAAGTGACATAAGTGTTTGAGGTGTTTCAGGGAAGGAGCCTTTGCTCAGGAATCCCATCAGGGGATTCTTCTCTGAAAGGGGCTCTTCTCTGCAGGACTGAGGGTCTGCCCCAGGCAGGGAAGATCTGCTCCTCAAGGTTTTGGGATTCAGCACTAGCACAGGGGTCCCTTTCCCTCAGGCATGGAATCAGCAGGGAAAACTCTTGTCCTAAGGGGATGGGCCTGGGGCAACTCCATTTTCCTCAAGGAGGGAGTCAGCCAGGCAGGGAAGATCCCTGTCCTCAGGGAATGGACTCTGGGGAGGGCCCTTGTCCCTGGGAACGGCCTCAGACTGGCAGGGAAGACCCTTCCCTTTTTCCTTCCCCAGGGAAGTGCCATCTCCTCAGGGAGGGCATAGCCTAACAGGGAAGACACAGGGAAGCCCCATCATCCCATCTCCTCAGGGAGGGCACAGCCTAACAGGGAACACCCTGCTCCTCAGGGAACGAGTCCTGGGCAAGGCTCGTCTCCTCAAGGACAGTGTCAGCCTGGCAGAAGAGATGAGCCCTTCTCCTCAAGGGAGCACCCTCTCCTCAGGGCACGGTTCCCAGCAAGTCCCCTCTCCTCAGGGAAATCCCTTCTCCTCAGGAAAGACCCCTCTCCTCACAGATGGAGACCCCTGGCTAAGTCCCTTCTCCTCAAGGACAGTGTCAGCGTGGCACAGCAGTCCCTTCTCCTCAAGGACAGTGTCAGCCTGGCACAGCAGCCCCTTCTCCTCAGGGCAGCCCCTCTCCCCCGAGGGCAGCCCACCCCCCGCCGCCCTACCGGGCTCGGTGCCGCCGGCCAGCAGCGTGCCCAGGATGCGCTCGGACTCTCCGCCCGCGTACATGAAGGCAGTGTCGACGAGGCGGTACCGGCGACGCAGGAAGGCGCGGAGCAGCTCAGCGCTCGCCTCGGGCCCGGCTCGCCGGCCCATCTCCATTGCGCCCAGCACCACCGCGGGCCGGGCCCCGCCGCCCGCCACTGCCGCCATCGCTGCCCGCGCCGCCCGCACCGCCATCGCGCCTGCGCGGCCCCGCCCCGCCCGGCCCCTCACACGGCGGGGCCGGGACCCGGCTCACCGAGATCGGGAAGAAACAGCAACTTTGGGAAAGGCAGCGCTGGGAAACCGCGGGGGAATGCAGCGACTTTGTGCAAAGGCTCGCTGATTTCACGCTGTGAAAAATTGCCGATGTGCAGCAACTTCTTGAGAAAGCAGCAGAGGAGCGGCGGGTCTGGGACAGCGTTAAAGGAAACCCGGCAGGGTTTGCGAGAGCAGCGAAGGAAACTGGGCAGGGTTTGGGACAGCGGCGAAGGAAACCCGGCGGTGTCTGAGGAGTTGTGGATTCGCAAAGAAAAACAGCCCAAGTTTCAAAAAGAGCGGGTTTTCAAGGAAAAATACAGTTCCGAACCGCGTCGGTGAAGAGGCGAGTGCCGGTGCTGCGGGGACAGGTTGGGTCGATTTCGGCTTCTTTTATTTTTCTCCCCCCACTTTTTTTTCACTTCTCCTTTTCTTCTGCTTCTTTTTTTTTCCCCCTTCCATTTCCTTTTCTCCTATCCTTTTTTTCTTTTCTTTTTTGTTTCTTTTTTATTATTTTTTTCCCCTTCCCCCCTCCTTTTCCTCTTTTTTTCTCCCTTCTCGTCTTTATTTCTTCCTCTTCCTTAATTTCTCCTTTGAGGCCAGACGCTGCTAGGCTGGCATCAAACCCAATAAAGGTGAATTATCCACTAACGATGCATTTTTCCAACATGAGCCAGTACCCGGGGCATCCCCAGACCTGTCCCTCCCGCAGATCTTTCGTTCCCCATTGTTATTAATTTTTCCCTGTGTTATTCCCTTTTCCCCAGCGTTATCCCGGCAGTTCCATGGCTGCGCGGCGCTGGAGGGGTCTCCCCTCGGGGAATCTCTCCGATTGTCCCAATGGCTCCCGCTGGATCATGGATGTGTTCCATGAGTGTGCCCAGGACAGCCGGGATGTCGCCAGCATCGTCCTGGGGCTGGGCTCCATCGGCTGCTTCATCGCCGCAGCCTTCCCGTGAGTACCGATCCCAAATCCCCGGGTGCCGCTCCCAAATCCCTGGGTAAGGCTCCCGAATCCCCGGAGTGCTGCTCCTGAATTTCTGGGGACTGCTCCCAAATCCCTGAGTATCAGTCCCGAATTTATGGGTGCCGCTCCCGAATCCCTGAGTACCTCTCCCGAATTTATGGGGACCGCTCTCAAATCCCTGGGTAAGGCTCCCGAATCCCCTGGGTACTGCTCCCAAATCCCTGAGTATCAGTCCCGAATTTCTGGGGACCGCTCCCGAATTTATGGTTGCCGCTCTCAAACCCTTGGATACCTCTCCCGAATTTATGGAGACTGCTCCCAAATCCCCGAGTACTGCTCCCGAATCCCCGGGGACCGCTCCCAAATCCCTGAGTGTCAGTCCCGAATCCCTCAGTACCGCTCCCGAATTTCTGGGGACCGCTCTCAAATCCCTGGGTAAGGCTCCCGAATCCCCTGGGTTCCGCTCCCAAATCCCTGAGTATCACTCCCGAATTTATGGGGACCACTCCCGAATTTATGGGGAACTGCTCCCGAATCCTCGGGTACCACTCCCGAACCCCTGGATACCGCTCCCGAATCCCTGAGTACCGCTCCCGAATTTATGGGGACCGCTCCCAGATCCCTGGGTAAGGCTCCCAAATCCCCGAGTGCCGCTCCCAAATCCCCGAGTATCGCCCCCTCATCCCGGGCAGCCCTTCCCGGGGATGGCAGACACCCTCTGGCAAGCACAAGGTGCCAGAATCCTCAAATCCCCGCGGCACAAGCAGCGAGGGCTCGGCAGGGTGAGGGGAGCACAGCCCCGGAGCAGCGCAGCCCCGGAGCCCGGCGGTGGCCGCGGTGTTGTCGCCGTGCCCGAATGTCCCACGTCAGGCACGTGCAGGGCCGGCAGGACAGGTCACGCTGCAGGAGGAATGTCCCGTCCCCAGGAGCCCTAGGGTACGTGGAAGTGCTGACACAGGGGTGGCAGACAGGCACGTGAGGAGTCACGGCTCTTTCGCAAGCGGAGGGGAGGATCCTGCAGCTGGGATCATCCTCCCGTCCCTGGGATCATCCTCCTGCTCCTCCCACTGGGCTCTCAGTGAGCGCCGGTGGGGCTCGGGAGTTGTCCCTGGGGCCAGGGCAGCGTGTGGCCTTGCCTTTCCTCCCGTGACTGCTTGGGGATGCGCAGAATCCTGGGCATGGCTCCCCAGTAGCGCTCTGAGGTGATGTTTGTTCCCCTGCAGGCAGTTCTACCAGGCCTGCCGAACGGGCATCATGGACCAGGCTCTCTCCATCTATTTCCTGCTGGGATGGCTGGGCGGAGACCTCCTCAACCTCATCGGCTCCTTCCTGGCCGATCAGCTGCCCCTGCAGGTACCGGGCTGGCTCTCAAACAGCCCAGCTCCGGGGAGGAGGGAGGGGCTGGCAGCTGCTGTATCCCGAGCAGAGCCAAAACTGCCGGGGATGCTCCCTCTGCCCCCTAGAAATGCTCCCCTCTCCCATGCTGGGCTTGCTCCCTTCTCCCCTCGGGTGTGGTCCATTCTCTCCCAGGGATGCTCCCTCCTCCCTCTTTGGGGATGCTCCCTCCTTCCCCTCTTGGTGTTTTCCCTTTTCTCCCTGGGGTTGCTCCCTTTTTCCTCCCTGGGGATGCTCCCTGCTTCCCTTCTTGGTGTTTTCCCTTTTCTCCCATGGATGCTCCCTCCTTCCTCCCTGTGGGAATGCTCCCTCCTTCCTCCCCGGGGATGCTCCCTTCTTTTCCTCTTGGTGTTTTCCCTGTTCTCCCATGGGTGCTCCCTCCTTCCTCCCTGTGGGAATGCTCCCTCCTTCCTCCCCGGGGATGCTCCCTTCTTTCCCTCTTATTTTCTCTTTTCTCCCAGGGATGCTCTCTCCTTTCCCTGTGGGGTTGCTCCCTCCTTCCTCCCCAGGGATGCTCCCTTTTCCCCCTCTTGGTGTTTTCCCTTCTCTCCCTGGGGTTGCTCCCTTTTTCCTCCCTGGGGATGCTCCCTGCTTCCCTTCTTGGTGTTTTCCTTTTTCTCCCAGGGATGCTCCCTCCTTTCTTCCCCCATGGAGTTGCTCCCTCTTTCCTTCCCCTGTGGATATGCTCCCTCCTTCCTCCCTGGGGATGCTCTCTTTTTCCCCTCTTGGTTTTCCCTTCTCTCCCTGGGGTTGCTCCCCCCTTCTCTCCCTGGGGATGCTCCCTTCTTCCTCCCTGGGGATGCTCCTTCCTTCCCTTCTTGGTGTTTTCCCTTCTGTCCTAGGGATTCTCCCTTCTTCACCCCCGAGTTCCTCCTTTCCCTCCCTCTGGGGTGTTCCCTCCACCCCAGGACCCCTTTCTCTCACAGGGTTTCTCCCTTCACCCCAGGACACTCCCCTCTCCCCCAGGGGGGAGGGAGCAGCCCTGTGGGAGCCCCCCATGTCCCCATGGGTGTCCCCAGCCTGTCCCCTCCCCTCCCCACAGGTGTACACAGCCATTTACTACGTGCTGGCAGACCTGGCCATGCTGTCCCTGTACTGCTACTACCGGGTGAAGAACAGGGGCAGAGCCTGTGAGTTGGGGCACAGGGGAGGGCTCTGTTCCCCTGGGCACTGGGAGCAGAGAGGGGGAATTCTCTGGGAGCCTGGGAGATTCCAGGCACAGTCAGCAGATGATGCCTCTTGTTGCTTCTGGGTTGGTGGTTTGGTTTTTTTCCTTTTTTTCCTTGGATAATTTGAGCCCCTAGGAGAGGCAAAGCCAACAAACCCCTACAGGCTGGGCCTGGGGCTTCTGCAGGCCCTGCAACCCCCACTGCAAACAACCCCCCCATGAGCCTCAGGGGGCACAGAAACAAATAAATCCCCCACAGTTACGTGGTGATTCCACCTCAGAGCTGGGAATCACAGAGCTCCTGACTCAGGCAGTGCTGGAAGGGAAAGGGGGAAGTTTTGCCCACTGTTTCAGGCCAAAACTTGACAGGGAATTTCCTCTCTGTTCAACTGGAGTGAAAAGGGAACCTGAGCAATTCTTGCAGGGTTTAAACAGACAGAGAAAATCCCCTTTCCAGCACTGCTGAACCCCAAACAGGCTCCTTGAAACTGGGGTGATTGTTTAACTTAGAAAAGACATGTAAAGTTATTGCCAGTTGGTATTTGACCCATCAGATCCATGGTTTTGTTAAGCTGGAGAGCTTGCTTACTGAATATAATCACTAAAAATTACTGAAAAATAGCAAATTACTACTAACAAATAAGCCACAGCAGGGCTTATTTGTTGCTAGGGTTAGGAGTATGAATCCCTGCAAGGATTTGAGAGTGACTTAAGACAGTGAAATCTTCTAGTGGGGATGATTCTATAGAGCCTTAAACCCAAAGAAACCGAGATAGGAGCAGCTTCCTCCCTGATAAGGCACAAACTGGGCACATCCCTGGCAGATAAATCACACCAGCACCCACAGCAGCCACTGCCCCATCCCCTGGTGAGATAAGGGAGAGATCAGAGGTTGCTCAGTCCCTTGGTGAGATAAGGGGGAGCTTGGAGGTTTCTTCACCCCAGGAGGGTTCTGGGAGCCCCAGGGCTGTTGGGGTTGCTGGGCTCTCCCTGACCAGGCTCTGTGTGCCCTCTGCAGTCCCTGACCAGGCTCTGTTTGCCCTCTGCAGTCCCTGACCAGGCTCTGTGTGCCCTCTGCAGTCCCTGACCAGGCTCTGTGTGCCCTCTGCAGTCCCTGACCAGGCTCTGTGTGCCCTCTGCAGTCCCTGACCAGGCTCTGTGTGCCCTCTGCAGTCCCTGACCAGGCTCTGTTTGCCCTCTGCAGTCCCTGACCAGGCTCTGTGTGCCCTCTGCAGTCCCTGACCAGGCTCTGTTTGCCCTCTGCAGTCCCTGCTCCCATCAATGCAGCCTTTGTGTTCCTCTCCGTGGGGGCCCTGCCCAGCCTCTCCCTCCTGGGCAGTGCCAGCCCCGAGGCTCCAGGGGCTTTCAAGGGGAGATCTCTGCTGTCAGCTCCTGGGGATGAGCTTGGAGCAAAGGTGAGCCAGCTCCTAAACCTGGGAGATGGGAGAGAGGTCTGGGTGGGGATGCCCTGCTGGGTGCTGTGATCCCAAAAATCCACCCTGCACCCCACCATGTTTTCGGGTTAGGGGCTGTTCCTGTTTTAGGGCCAAATTGTTCTCCAGGAGACTGATAGAGTCTAGGAAGGTGGCACTGGAGAGTGAACTTTTTCAAAGATTTCTCCAAAATTCAGGAGCAGTTTGCTGCAGGATTTCAGACATTTCAGGGCATTTTCATTTGAAACTTCAAGCACTTCTATGGGCCTGCTCAAGAGTCAGCAAACCTCACAAATCCCATATCTCTGCAAACAGACTTTGTCTCAGGTACCTGCATAGGATGGACAACAAAATGTGGTTCCTGTGTTGAGGAAATTTGTAAGATTTCTCCCCTTTAATTATTTTTCCAATTATCCACATTTATATAAATTACTGAAAATCAAACAAGCAAGAAAGTGCAGCAAGGTAACTCAGTTGGCTGAAACTGAAAGTGGGTTTGCAGGATAGTTTTGCTCTGGTAATAGAAAAGGATCTCTGAGCAAAGCAAATAAAGCGAATTCCCGTTATAACAGACTGCCCTGGGTGTTTTCCTGTGGCAGGGTGAAATGTTAATTAGCAGCTGTAATTATCAGCGGCTGTCAGAGGAGGGGAGCGGGGTACACGCGGGGTGGGAGTGGCCGTGCTGGGCTCTGAGCTGGGGGCTGTCCCTGTCCCTGTCCCCGCCCCTTGCAGCCTTTCTCCAGGACCGAAATCATCGGATTTACCATCGGCTCCGTCTCCTCCGTGCTCTACCTGTGCTCCCGAGTGCCCCAGATCTGCACCAACGTGAGTGCCCAGCCTGGGGCTCCTCACCCTGGGGGCTGGGGACTCTCCTTTCTCCCCGGGGGAAGTTCTCCTTTTTCCTCTGCTCGGAGGTCCCAGGCCCCATCTCTGATCATTCCATAAGGGACCACTTCTCTGTATTTATTTTTCTCCCCTCCCTTTAACCTACCAATGTTTTGAGGGTGGGGCTTTCATTTTGTCTCATTTACAAGCCAAAGGGGAACTAAATGACTCCCAGTGCGTCACCACTTCTCTTTTTTACTGCTGGGGATGAGCATGATTAATAGCATGATTAAATTAATAGTTGTAGAGAGATTTAGGAGAGCTGCACTCAAGCTCCTCTCCTCTCCCTCTTTTCCCAGTACAAGAGGAAATCCACCAGTGGCGTCTCCTACTCTCTCTTTGCCCTGGTGATGCTGGGCAATTCCCTGTATGGGCTCAGTGTGCTCCTGAAGAACCCAGAGCCAGGCCAGGGCCAAGGTGATTACATCCTGCACCACCTGCCCTGGCTGGTGGGCAGCCTGGGCGTGCTGGCCCTGGATGTGGCTGTATCCTTTCCCCTGGGCTGGATCCATCCTGCAGGGCCTGCAGGGAGTGGGATTTAGGGCTGGGCAGGAGGGAGGGTGGTGCTGCTCCTGGGGATGTGTGCTGCTGCTCTGCCTGGGAAATGCTCAGCCCCTGCTTTGCACTGAGCTCCCTGTGCTGTTCCCACCTCTCCTGGCACAATCTCGGGGTGCTGACCCCCAGTGATCCCCAGCTCCCCCTGTGAGTGTGCAGAGCCTTGACCCCTCCCCAGATCTCCTTCCAGTTCCTGGCCTACAGGAAAGGACGGCCTGGCAGCCTCGAGGAGAGGGGGGCTCTCCTGGGGGAGCCAGAGGAGAGCCCAGAGAGCTGACAGAGAGACCTGCCCTGCCCGGAGAGGAGGAGGAGGAGGATGCACATGAGGAAGGCACGTGCCTTAGGGCTGGCCAGACCAGCCCCTCCATCCTGGTGGCTCCTGGCAGAAGAGGCTCTGAGCCCGTGGGTGACACGTTGTGCTGCCAAGGCGGTGGCAGAGGATGCTGCTGGGACACCTGGTGCCTCTTTGATACCAATGATGCTTTCAGGATAAAAGGGAATTTTTGGATACCTCAGCTGCTCTTCACTGCTCCAGTGCCCCACAGCTGAGCCTGGGCACTGCTGTGTCTGCCAGGGGCGATCTGGAGCTTCCTTGGTGCTGGAAAATGTGGGGAGGGGACAGAAGACTGACCTGCCACAGACACAGCCCTGTGGCCTCACAGCTGCCCCCTCAGCTCCTTCTGCAAACACACAGGGCTGGATCCATTGGGGAAGGAGCAGCAGAACCAAAGTCTTCAATCCACACCTGTTTTAATTAGCATGGCTCACCCATCTATAAAACACATCTTTCCCCACCTGCCTGCCTTGGTTTCATTTTGCTGCTTTACTTGGCAGCTCCTGCCTCTTTCCTAATGAGTCTCACAGTCCCATTCTCTGACTTCTCATTGTTGCCTCACCCATGTTTTAATTGCATGGATTCCTTGGGGAAGTTGCTCCATTGCTGTTCCCCAGCAGAAGAGCAGAGCTGCTCACTCTGCTTTTCAGTTCCTGCCCTCTGTCCTTGATGAATTTATCAACCTGACAAATTTATCCTCAGTGTGATGAATTTATCCTTATTCTGATGAATTTATCTTTAACCTGTTGAGTGTATCTGCAACACTGATGGGTTTATCCCCTCTGGGGGCCCTGAGCTCAGCCAGTGCTCCCTCCTGGAGCAGGGAAGGTCAGGAATCAGGGCTGGGTTGGGAGAAGCTGTGTGCCCAGCAGGAGAGAGTGGAGCTGTAGCCAGGCTCCCTCCCTTGGGCTGAGCTCCTCTGCTGGGGATGAGCAGCTCAGTCTCCCTGGGAAAATGAGGAAAAGCAACCAAAGCTTGGAGACCCTTCAGGAAAATGTTCACAGCTTGGCCTTGTGAAAACCAGAGCTTTCCTTTTCCTGCAGTTCCTATCAGCTCTTCCTTTTGCTTCCCTTACCCCTCTCCAGTTCCCCTCCTGATATCCAGCATTGTGTCCCTTTTGGCTTTATCATTAATTTATGATTCCTCAGCCAGTCCATGCCATTTGTGCTTCCCAAGGAAGTTCCTCTGCCTTGTCCTCACACTGAGGACACCAATCCATGGATCTCACATAAATGGGATTTCAGCTGCAGGTTCATGGGGACACAAACTGGGCAGTTCGTGGGGCTGACCCAGCTGCCTTCAGAAAGGAAATGTATTTTACACTCTCTGAGCCCTTTGAAACAAGTGAGTGAGCTTTTACTGGGTTAATTCACAGCTCCTGGGGATGAGCTTGGAGCAAAGGTGAGCCAGCTCCTAAACCTGGGAGATGGGAGAGAGGTCTGGGTGGGGATGCCCTGCTGGGTGCTGTGATCCCAAAAATCCACCCTGCACCCCAGCATGTGTTTTGGGGTTAGGGGCTGTTCCTGTTTTAGGGCCAAATTGTTCTCCAGGACACTGATAGAGTCTAGGAAGGTGGCACTACAAAGAGAACTTTTCCAAAGATTCTTCTAAAATTCAGGAGCAGTTTGCTGCAGGATTTCAGACATTTCAGGGCATTTTCATTTGAAACTTCAAGCACTTCTATGGGCCTGCTCAAGAGTCAGCAAACCTCACAAATCCCATATCTCTGCAAACAGACTTTATCTCAGGTACCTGCATAGGATGGACAACAAAATGTGGTTCCTGTGTTGAGGAAATTTGTAGGACCTCTCCCCTTTAATTCTTCTTCCAATTATTCACATAAATTACTGAAAATCAAAGCAAGAAAGTGCAGCAAGGTAACTCAGTTGGCTGAAACTGAAAGTGGGTTTGCAGGATAGTTTTGCTCTGGCAATAGGAAAGAATTCACAATTCTGCCCCTCCAGATCCACAGGCACAGGGGCTGCCCACCTCATCCTGAAGCAGCAGCATTTCCTGTCCTGTAGAACAATTCAGATCCTGTTTTAATCCAAAGCATGAGCAAATCCCTCATCTCTGCCACTCACAACACTGAATAATTGTCACACTGGCTTTTCCTAAACCTGGGCAAAGAACCTCTGCCATAAGGAAGAATTTGTTTATATATACATTTATATTTATATATAAATATAAACATCACGTGGAAGGGGACATCACACCCCCTTCCACACAAACATTTCTGGAGTGGGACAAAAAACAAACCCCAAGTTACCCTGCAAGGAAGGAAAGAGAAACAAGGAGGACACGATCACACAAACATCTTCCTGGGATTTTTTTTTTGGTTGTTTTTATTGTTTTAGTCTTTTTTTTTTCCTTTTATTTTTTTTCCATTTTTTAGTATGGAGGCTCAAGTATCAGATGTAGATTCAATTTAAGCTTTACAAAAAAAAACCAAAAAATCAAAACAAAAACCCCTTTTGCATTCCATAAAAATTGACAGAAAAGCGCCTTGGAACCAGGCTATAGAAGAGCAGAACTTTCAGCAGGTCTCGAAATCACCATCTCCTGCACATCTGGGTTACTCAGTATTGTACAACCCCCAGAACACCCTCTCTTCCCTCCCTCCCTCCAGCCAGCCCCTGTGCCCAGCCCCCAAACATACGTGGAATAGATTATTTTTCTTTTTTTTTCTTTTTTTTTTTTGTTTTTCCAGTTCTTCCTCTTTCACACACCACAGTATTTAATAAATTTTTGTTTTACATTTTTTACACCAATGTAACAAAAGGCAGGAGGGGGTGAGGGAGGAAAAGACAAACAATGATCTGTGGTGATGCATATAAACGGGGGAGGGTGGGAAAGGGGGGAGGAGAAAAAAAAAATAATACATGGACTCCTACAGGAACATAGCCTAAGGTCTTAATAGTAAAATGTGGTGCAAAGTAGGCCTCAGAGACTGAAAAAGTTTGTACAGCTTTATTCATGGGGAGAGGATGGCGCTGCATGGAGAGTATTGGATGCAAATCGTGACGTGACCAACAGAAAAGGGCGGGGATGATTCTCTAGGAAAGGAATCTAACGAGTGCATGGCATGGCTGGTTAGCACTGACAGGACTTTAACTTTGCTGCTTCCTCTTCAAAGCCTCCACCAGGTCGTTTTTAAGAGCTTCTTGTTTTGATTTGTCTGCAAAAGTCTGCACAGACCTGTGGGGAGGAAGGAAAGGGGGGTCAGAGGCAGGGCAGGGCTGGGAGGGGAGCAGTGCTGGAGTCAGGAGGAAGGAGGAGCCCCTGAGCCAGGCTCAGCTCTCCTGCTGGAGCCCAGGAAGCAGAAATGACCACTCTGAGAACACAAAGCCAAACTCACTCTGGCAAGGAAGGCACCCAAGGCTGCCCCAGCAGCGTCCCAAGTTTCTGTCCCAGACTGCAGAGCCCAGCATCCCACACAGCCGGGGGGGCACAGCTCCTGCTCCTGCTGCCCCCAGGGCCAGAGAGAAGCCGGCCCCACCCAGAGAAGGGCCAGGCTGGGGAGCCCTGATCACCCAGGGTCACCTCAGAACCCACACCGGCCTCTGCACCGCTGGAAATGGCAGCTGGAGGTTCTGCTCTCAAATCTGCCTTTTTTGTACCTTCCCTAAGGAATGAGTGATCAAAGCAGCTGAAGAAGAACAGAGACACTGTCACAGGGTTATTGCAGGGATTCCCTTTGCCTGAAGTACAGAGGAGCAGCTCCACCTGTCAGGAATCACCTGGGATCGCTGCCCTGGGAGATGCCTGTGGAGGAACCTCTGATTTCAATAAGACAATGAGAAATTTCCACTTTTAAAAAGGCCCCTCTTAAATAAATTGATAGAATGGGTTCTATTCAGGACCAAACTTTTCCAGAGTGGCTACCACAGAGAAGTGGTAGGATTCCTCCCCACCCAAATCACATTTCACAGCCTTTACAGCACCTGGGAGAGTGGAAGATCTCCCTGCCCATGGCACGGGCTGGAACTGGATGAGCTTTAAGGGCCCTTCCAACCCCAACCAGTCTGGGATTCTGTGATTCAGAGCAACCTGGTTTCCCTGGTTGCTGCCTCCTGTAAACAAGGCTGCTCTTTGTGGTGGTGATTTTCCAACCATTTTTGTAACAGTATTTCCATTCTCTTGTCTCTGGACACTTCTGCTGCTTTAATAAAACCATTTACATTTATATTTGCATTTGTCACAGGCTGAAGATGTGGTTCTTGGCCACCACCAACAAATAGTGAGTTTCCCCCTTTGTCAGATGAAAGAACATCTGTAACTGGTTAGGAATGGGAGTGGAAGGTTAAGGAGGCTCAGGTTAGTCACTGCCCTGACACTCAGAGCTCCAGAGCAACGAGCACAGCACCAGATCCCTCTGGAGGCCGTGCAAGCACGAGCAGGGGAGGCTGCCCATGAAGAGTGAGCCTGAGCAGGACTGAGCTCCAAGGCAGCTCAAACCCCAGCAGGCTCACAGGGAAGGTGTGTGGGTGAGCACACCTTTATTCTGAACTCATGGCAAGAACCAGAATCTCTTTTTTCCCAAACTGTGACACTCCCAGGATTTCACTCTGCAGGGAGCACACTGGGATTACAGGGAATTTCTTCATGGAAGTGGAGTACCACAGGTGTAAAGAACTGCTGGTGCCCAAGGGGCAGAGTCCTGGGAATGCTGGATGGAATCAGCCCAATCCCACAGCACTCCACGTGCTCCTTTCCTGCTCCCAAGCCAGAGTGCCAAGTGGGAAATCCTGCCCCAGTTCTGAGCGTGAGGATTCCATGAGGGAGGAGAAAACACTGAAAACAGAAGCCAGCACTGAGGCAGCCCCAGGAGGATTCCATGAGGGAGGAGAAAACACTGAAAACAGAAGCCAGCCCTGAGGCAGCCCCAGGAGGCTGGGCTGGCTGCTCCCTGTGGGATTAGGGGTTAGTTCTTCCCGTTACCATGCAGGGGCTGGGCTGGTGAGTCCTGGTTTAGTGCTGGCTCACACCTCACAGGCAGCAGGGGTACCTGGATTGGTTTAGTTATCAGGCTGGATGTAGATCTGGCGCTGGGTCAACACTTGAGAAAGTTCCCTCTGCAACTGCTTATACTTTTGGTTGTCAGGAATAGCATCGATAGATCTACAGAGAGCAGTGGGAAACCAGGGAGCAAACAGGGAAAAGAACAGTCAGAAGAACTTGGTAACACAGAGCTGGGGCCTGGGAAGCTCCAGGGAGGAGAAGGGGACACACACAGAGGAGAGAAGGAGCAGGGACAGGCTGGAGGGGCTCCCTCCTGCACACAGGGCCAGGACTCTGAGGGATGGGGACAGCAGAGATCAACCACAGCAGCTCAAGGCAACATTCACAAGAGAAAGGTTCTATTATAGATTCCCTCTGGTGTAATTAAAGCTTCCTTTAATTATTAATTATTAATTCCTGAACCCTGCTCAGCACAAAGGAAACTGAGGCTGGTCTGACCTGGGCTTGGGGCAGAACCCAGAACCCTCCCACAGGTCCTGCTCTGCCCATACAGCAGCACCAATATTGAATGAACACCATTTTTCTCTCTTCTTCCACGTGTCAGTGTGTGAGGGAAGAGCAGAGCATTTATTTGTGCCCTTTGGTTATTGTACATTACCACACTGTGCTGGGAGGTCTCTCTGTACTTTAAAATGAAGTGATTTGGCATCACAGTGATTTCCTCTGTGAGCATAAGAATTACCAGCTTGGGATTTCCATGTCAAATCCTGTTCAGGAATGAGCAGGGGTTGAACAGCACAGCACAGTTTCCCCACAGAAAGGCACAGGGAATTTAATCTCTTCTCATACACTGTATTTTGACCAGTGGTGTTGAAAGAAAGACAGAATTTAAAACAAAGTCTAAATACCACAAACCACTCATGTCATGACTTAATTCTGGGACTATTTTTAAGGACAGTAGAAAGAGAAGACAGAATTTAAGGACTGTGAAGAACAAAACTAATGAAAAATAATCCAGAAATACAAGTGTTAGTTGGGCTGTTTGGCTCCTGGTGAGGAAACAAGGGATTAAAACATTGCTTCAGATTTCTGCAACAGAAGAGTTCCCTGAACTCCACACAACAAAAACTGTCCCACAGCACAGGGAGGGGAAAACCAAGGCTGGGGTGGCACTGCAGGGATGCAAAGGGTCCCCACCCACTGCAGGTCCCTTACCTCAGCCCATTCACGATGTCCTTTGTCTTTCCAAAATAAATCTCATTCAGTGTACTTCGGATTTTGTTTTCCATGTCCTGGAAAAGAAAAGAGCACAGCAGCTCTTCAGTGCCCTCAGATTTCTGTCTGCAGGGCTGCTGCAGCACCAGGGTCACTCTGAGCATTCCCAGCTCTCAGAGCCCACAGAGCCCTGGCCCAGCCCCTGCTCCCATCCCAGCACTGGGCATTTGTCACTGCCACATTTTCTGGAAAATCCCTTTGCCAGGATTTCTTCTCCTAGGAAGCTGAGAAGCCTCAGAGAAAAATGAAAATAACAATGATCTGATTGCTTCTCCTGTGTTTGCTGCTTTGGAATGGAGTTGGAGATTGTTTTATCCAACAAGTGGCTGTTTGATTGGCTTCATGTGAATTGTTTTGAGTTAATGACCAATCTCAGCCAGCTGTGGTGGGACTCTGGAAGCAGTCATGAGTTTTCATGATCATTCTTTGTAACCTTCTGTCTGTATCCTTTCTCTATTCTGTAGTATAGTTTGAGTATAGCATGATATGATATGATATGATATGATATGATATGATATGATATGATATGATATGATACGATATAGTATAATATAATATAGTATAGTATATTATAGTTATAGTATAATATAATATAATATATTATAATATAATATATCTATATATATAGATAGATATATTATATATATCTATAATAATATAATATATAATATATAATATAATATAATATAATAATCACATTACATAACATAATATACTATATTATCATATAATATATTATAATCATATATCATTTAATAATGAATTAGCCTTCTAAGAACACGGAGTCAGATTCTCAACTCCTCCTTGGTCCCGGGGGCCCAGCAAACCCCTCAGGGTTGCGCTGCTGCTCTCCCCAGCTCTGGGAGCTCCGTGCACCACGAGAGGGCAGCTTCTGCCCAGCTCTGCACACAGGGAAATGCACCAGCCCAGCCCAGCCCAGCCCAGCCCGGCCCTGCACGGTTCCAGGAGCCCAGCCAGTCCTCCAGGATAACCAAGAGCCCAGAGCTCTGTGCTCAGAATCCTTGACTTGTTCTTTACAGCTGCCCCACAGAGCTCTGAGAGATCTTGCAACAAAGCAGCTTTTTTTTTTCATTGCTTTCACTCAAGCAAACAACTTTAAAAAGGGATCAAAAAAGAAGCAGCAGCCTTTCTTTAATTTCCCAGTTCCTTAAAAATGCATCAGGGTTGAGAATTTCCTCCTTTCTTTGCTATAACAATGAAGGAAATCTGGAACACCCTCAGTGCAGTGAAACACAAAGTGGTGCTGCACCCTCTGAGCAGCTGCACTCCTTGTGCTGAGCCTCAGGGCTGAGAGCTGCCACAAAACCCCACAGCAAACCCAATTCCAGGGGGTTTCATAAGCATTTGACACACACTGAACTGCCCAAGGGACAGTGCTGCAGCAACCTGTTAGAAATAATTCCCCCCAGAAGTGGCTGCAAAAGCAAATCTGAGGGCAGGAAGTTGTTCACTGGTGCTCAGGAAGGGAACACCCATTCTCTCACCACTGCAGGGCTGAGCAGGAGACAAGGGGCGGCTTTGGGGTGGCTTTATACCCACAGACAGCTGGGGGGGATGGAAGGAGCAGCACTGAGCCACCACACACCCAGCAACAACAGGAATCAGTAAGTTATTAGTACCAAAATCCAAGGAATGGGAGCAGCTGTGGGCAGAGAAGCCGCACTCACCTCTACCAAGCGGCCGATGTTGGCTATGTGTGGGGAGGAGTCACTCACAGTCTCATCCTTCTCCATCTGCAAAGGAAAGCACAGATCCATCCATCGCAGGGAGCTGGGGCAGGGCTGGGACAGGGGGAATCACCACCTCCCCCCTGTGCACACACAGCAGAAGGGGCTGAGAAACCCCAGCACCCGCCACAGGCACAGGCTGGCAGGGGAGATGTGGGGAATAAAAAGGCAGGAAAGGGAAGAGCCCCTGCTGCAGACAGGGCCACAAGAGGCACCCCCTCCCCACCACGGAACAGCCAAGTGTCCTTTGCAGGGGAAATTCAGAGCTGGGACAACTCAGGAGTGCAGAGACAGCACAGCCCCAGTGCAGGACCTGGGCAGGACTCAGCTCCTGAGCCAGCTGAGATCTCCCAGCCCAGCACCAGCACTGGGAGCTGCAGCTGCAGCATCCCCTTGATTCCCTCTGGCTGTGCCTGATGGAGCCCCCAGCCCTGCCCTGCCATGGCCTGTGTGCTCTGGGGGCACCACTTCTGGGTTTCCCTGGCTCTGCATTGAAGGCACTTGGGTCAGTAGTTCATGTTCACACTCAGGTGTTTATTATAATTTCTGATCAGTGAAACAGTCTCACTACTGTGAGTGGGGCAGCTTTTCATTAGAAGGCACAAAATGGCCAACAATCTCTTGGTACAAGGGCTTTTCAGACTAAACTGTCCAATTAAGAGCTGACACCTGGATTATTTTCCCTTTTAACCCAATAACTGATCCCAAAGTTATCCCCAATAACTGCAATGGGGACTTTTCTGCCCAATTACAAAATGCCACCCAATCCCATCAAGGAGGAGGAAGAAGAAGCATGAAGAAGAAACCCAGGACAACACCCTGTGCCCTCCATCCTGCTGCCATCCACAACATACAGTTTCTCACCCAGTGACACACCTAGAATCTATTTCACACTTTTGTGGATTCCAGTCTATCTTGAAGTCTGGGAAACTTTCTCCATGAATGAGGGTCAGAGTCAGTGCTGCCCTGGGGGTCAGGGCACAGACACAGAAATATTCCCTGTGGTGCTCTGGGTTTGCACAGTGTGCTCAGTAAGTCCATCCTGCCCAGCTCCTGGGGCCAGGACACAGCCAAGTGCTCAACTGTGAACATCAGGAACCTCAGCAGGATCTGCTGAGACAGCAAGAAAACAACACTGGGAGACAAACGCAGCGGGAAGAACAGTCTTCAAAGGGTTTCACTAATCCCACTGAATTCTCTCATCCATCTGCTCCTATCCCTCCCTCAGGGCACAGTTTAAAACCTGGGCCAGCCACAGGTTTGTTCTAATAAGCCAAGGCTGGAACAGGCTTGGGGAAGCGTGTAATTTAACTGGACCCCTGAAGGCAAAGGATAACCTGGGAGAGGGAGGGGGAGAAGGAGCAGCAGGACATTTCATTTTGCCTTCAGACTGTTCCATGGAATGGAGACACTGCCTGGAGAAGGGGTCCAGCAGCACTGCAGGACAGTGCAGACCTGACCCACACAAACACATCCATGGGGAGCTGGAACCTTCAGCAAAGTGCCCCAGTCTGGGGCAGAGGGGCAGGCACTGCCACGGGCTCCCTGCCTGCCTCCTCACACCTGGACAGGCCCAGCTCTGCTTAAGGAGCAGAATCTGAAAATAGATTTTTTTTTTTAATAAAAAAAAAACCCCTGTATATTATTACATCTCCATAAAAACTGCTGCCAGAAGGAAAACATTTTTATGTGCTCTGGAAGGCCAGATGTTACAAGAGGCTGTTTAATGGAGTGCAGAGTCAGGATCAGCCATGCCCTACAAACAGTTGGGGTTTGTTGAGTTGTTGGGGTTTTTAAAGGTTCCTTCCTGTGGCTGGCACTGCTCAGGCATTTCTGCTGCTTAAATAAAGCTGGGCTTGCTCTGAGGGGAAATTCCCTCTGCAGGCTGAGCTCTGGAGCAGCTCATCCTCATCCTCCCAGGAACATCAGCTCATCCTCCCTCTGGCACTGCCCACTTCCAAACCCAGGGGGAGCCCAGGCTGAGCCCAATCCCTGCCCAGTCCCAGCCCAGTCCCAGCCCAGTCCCAGCTCAATCCCAGTCCAATCCCAGCTCTCCTGCAGCAGCCCCAGGCCCTGGTTCCTCTCCTGGCTGCCCCAGCCCTCTGCTCCAGGCTGACTCACAGGGACCCTCACTAATCCCACTGCTCTGGGCTCCCTGCTCCCTTGGGATGTTCCCTGCACGGAATAAAGCAGCTGCCTGGGCTTTCTGTAAACGTTATTTGGAGGAATAATATGAAGAGGGACGTTTAAGCTGGATAAACATTTTGTTTCATCGTGAAAGTGTCTGAAAACACCAGCAAAGGTAGAAGGGAACTCATCCTACATTTTGCTCTGGAAAGCCAACAACACCCACAGCTGCTCTGGCCACGGAGCAGAGTGAAAATCCCTTTAATGAAACACAAACAGCAATGTGTGCCAGGGGCTCCCAAAGCCACAGGCAGGCTGAAGGCTCCAGGTGGAAAATATGTGGAATTATTTGGATATCAGTAAGGCAAAATGTGGCCGGCCCCTCCAGCACTCATTTCAAACTACAGGCAGTAAGTGAAGGCTGTGATCTCTGCAGGGCTTGCAGCTTTGCAGGAATCAGCTGAGAACTGAGCCCACCCCTCCACAGAGTAACCAAATTTCCCATTCCCTTTGCCAAACTGTCCAGGCAAAACCAGGGGCAAACCTGGGCATGCTGCACAACCCTCACCTGCCCTCACTGCTCTGCTCCCTTCCTCTCATTTATTACAGAACTGAACCTCTGTGAGACCCACAGGGAGCTCAAAGCCCACCCAGTGCCAGCCCTGCCATGGCAGGGACCCCTTCCCCTGTCCCAGTGGCTCTGAGCCTGCCTGGGGCACTGCCAGGGATCCAGGGGCAGCCTGGAGCTGCCAGGGCCTGCCCACCCTCATGATGGAGGCAGAAATAATTCCCCGGTCAAGCCCTGGCAGCACATCCCTGCTGTCCCTGCACTAAAGGGACTCCAGGGCACTGCAACTGCTGAGGGGGAGCTCAAGGATCACAAGAAGATCCCAGTGGTGGAAAAACAAAGTTACAACATCTGGAGTGCTGGGATGGGCTTTTCCATGATGGGAATGGATCACTGTCCTGATTGCTGAGCACAGGGATTTCCCTGGGTGATAAATGGAGAATGGCTCTGCTGGGGTGTCACTGAGCAGCAGCGGATGCCAGGGCAGGGATTGCTCTGTCTGCACAGCCCAGCCTTCATCCAGCTCTGCAAAACCTTCTGCCCTCACTAGAGAGTGTTCTAAGTTCAAAAATCAACCTCTGTGCTGCTTTCATCCCAAATCCCAGGCCTCAGGAATCAGCCTCCTCATCATCACCATCCTCAGGAATGGATTATTTCAGTTCCTCTATTGAGTTCCCTGTGACTTTACATCCTCCCTTTCCCAGCTCTCCCCACATAAATGAACTCCAGGACTGAGCCAAGGTCCTGCTCAGCAGATTCACCTCCCCAGGCTCCTCCTGGCCAGGACACTCAGAGCCAGGCTCTGTGCAGGGACACAATGGGGAGGCACCTGCTGGTGCTGCTCCTGCCAGGAGGGGCTGCAGAGCCCTCAGCACAGTGCAGGGCTGACAGCCTGCCAGGGAAGGGGAACCCTCCCCATCTCCTGTGCACAAGGGAAGCAGATCCCACAGCTGCTCTGCCCCCCAACAAAGGGCAGCCCAATGAAAGCCCTGAGTGTGAGCAACACGAGCAGCTCCAAGGCACACACAGGGCCAGGAGCCCCAGAGCTGCCAGGGAACAACATCTGCCAAACATCTGGCCTCAATCAGCAGGGCTGGGAGGTACCTGCAGTCCCCAGAGAACTGCAAGGTAATTGGAAAGCTGCTGGCACGTTTCATTTCCCTGCAAGCCCTGCTCCCTGCTCCCCTCTGGCACTGTTCAAGTAGAACAGCATTTATTCCTAAAAATTCCAGCCAAACCCCCTGGGCAAAGGGGAGGCTCTGCCACACTCTGCGGCCAGGACATAATGAGCTTCCAGTGTCACCTCAGCTTTAACTCTCCCAAAGTTTTCAGGCCAGGATTAATCCATGGATCCTGAGTGCCTGGAGCTGCCTGAGAACTGATCTCACTCTCTGCAGGTAAATGAACCTCTGCACATACATGAAGCAATTCTGCCAATTATGCCTTTATACAGGTAAATTGTGCAAAGGAGTGGATGTGACAGCACCCAGGGGTTTGTGCTGCACACTCCTGTGTGTGTATAAACCTTTATACAGGTAAATTGTGCAAAGGAGTGGATGTGACAGCACCCAGGGGTTTGTGCTGCACCTCCTGTGTGTGTATAAACACCCATTGCTCGACTGCATCAGGATAGAATCTGAAATTCTGTAATTGAACTGATACAGCAGAAGCCTGAAATTCCAAAATCCACCAGGTCAAGTAAATTAAAATTACACCAAGGAGAGTTTTCAGCTTCCCAAAACTGAATACTCTATGTCTCCCCCTTTCCTTATTCTCTCCAGTCACAAATGTAAAATGTTTCTTTCTTCCTTATAAACAGAGACAACTCTTATTGTAGCAGACAAAAAACTGCACTGGGGAAATCAAGGGAAAGCAGTTCAAGGCACTGGAAGGGAGATGTCAACTCCCAGTGTATAAATAAAGCAGACACAGGCCAGGGATGTGACCTCTGTACCTGCCCAGGAGGGACCAGCACAGGGCCCCAAGTAGGAGCACTCCAAGAGAATCCCACAATCCTGGAATGGTTTGGGTTGAAGGATCAAATCCCATCCAGTGCCTTCACTGTCCCAGCTGCTCCAAACCCCATCCAGGCTGGCCTGGGCACCCCCAGGGCTCCAGGGGCAGCCACAGCAACAACACAGGGTCTTGAGAGAGGAAAATTCCTTCTCAAAACTGAGTGCAACCTTCAGGAACAGCCCAAGTGGAGCCTTACAGGAAGGAGCCTGGGGATGTTCCAGACAGGCAGAGCTTTTCCAAATGGCCTTGACAAAGGCAACAGAACCCCCTGGTTGTGTGGGTGCAGGGCAGCAATCTCAGCTGCAGAAAACAGCTTTTTGCGTTTTCCAGAGCCCCACTGCAGCTCCAAGCCCAGCCCCAGCACGTGGCACCCCCTGAGCTGCTCCTCTGGCCACCAGGTCAATCAATGGATGGAAACCAGCAATGCCCTGCCTGCAGCCAGGAGGCCACAGGGGTTTTGGAGGAAAGCTCTGAGCAGAGCACTGAGGCTGCTGTGCCATCAGCTGTGAGCAACACCTCAAAAGCTTCCTCCCAAACACAAGCACATCTGCTGCTCTCATTTAGGATCAAAGGTGGCCAAGCAAATGCTGACTTGACCAAAACCATGTAAATTTACCATGGATAAAGTTTTATCAAAACATCACTGATACCTGTCATAGTGAAACTGTAACAGGCTGTTCAAGAGGAAACTAAAACCAGCTCTTGGTGCCTCATTTTGCTGCAGGCTGCATGAAAAAAGGAGAAGTACAACTTGCAGAGCTTGGGTGATGTGGCACAGTGGATTTAGAGCCAAGCCCAAGCCCTGCCCTGTCAGTATAGGACATGAGAGAACACAGCTCACACTGCTGCTCTCAAGGTGAATTAAAAAGGGAAGTTTATTTTCTGACTCTAACATTAGAGTGACAGTGGACTGGAGGGTGACAGTGCCACCTCTCCAATGACACTGGACAAACCAACAGTCCATCAACTTTCTCCTCCTCCATAAAGGAATGTAAAACAATGAGTTATTTACAGCAAGTGAGAAAGTTCATTACAGGAATGTCAACATCAGAAGGCTTAGAAAATCTTAAAAAATAGGGTGACACTGCACTCAGGAGCTCAGTCCAGCTGCAGGTGAACTTCAGCTGGGGACAAACAGCTCCTCCTCACCCAGAACAGAAGGAGGCAGTGAGGAGACTGCAGGTGAAGTTTCTGCAGTTCCCAGTTCCCAGTGCCCTGCAGGATCCAGAACAGACCCAGAACAGCTCGAGGCAGTGTGGAGACTGCAGGTAATGAAAGGTGAAGTTTCTGCAGGTAATGAAAGGTGAAGTTTCTGCAGTTCCAGTCCCCAGTGCCTGCAGGATCCTGTCAGAGCCCAGGCTGGGATGTGCCCCAGGCTCCTGTTTGTGCTGCGCACCCTCCCCAGCACTGCTCCTGCCACAGCACCACATCTGCACCCAAGGTTCTGCTGTGGAATGATGGCAGAGGCATCAATCTCCACTGAAGCCTGGACAGGAAAGTCAAACCAAAGCAGGGCCAGCACTCAGGCCAAGGTGCACTGAGGACAGCCCTGTGCACAGCCCGTGTTTGCCTTGGCCCAGCTGTGCTCAGGGCCATGGCCAGAGTCAAGCCCTTGGCCTGCACTTCACAGCTCCCATTTCCAGCATCAGCAGGGCTGGGATTAAATATTTGTCCGGGTCACCATAACTGGGGTGTAATTACTGCAAAAAGAGTCAAAAAAAGGCTCAAAACTGTCTCCAGATGCCTTTTTCCTTCACTTGCTTTTCCATCAGCCTCTTCAATGTCAACAACATGGAAAGAAAAATCACCCAGGCTGGGGCAAGCTGTGCAAGACTAACCCAGCTTCAGTCCCTCTCTGCAATCCCAGACCCTCCTTGGCTTCACCTGGCTCAAAGCTGCTCAGGACCAGGAGGTTTTGAACAGAGTCTGCATTGTCCTTTGTATGGGCCTGGGAAGGCTCATAAAGGAGTTTCAGCTGCTGCCAATCTCTCCAGTCACTCATGACCTTACAATGTGCCTCCTGTCCTGCTCAGTTTATTACTCTGCTCCATCAGTGACTGCAGAGCCCAGAGCAAGCCCAGCTCATCAGCAGGGAGGGAAGCCCTGGCAGGTGGTGGGGCAGAGCAGCCCAGCCAAGGCAGCCCAGCTCAGCACATCCTGCCTGTCAGGGCCTGGGGAAACCTCCCTGGTGAAAAGCAGCTCTCAGGAGGCAGACAGTCATTAATGCTGGCATAAAACCCCCAGATTAGGACAGACTTATCTTACTTTTTTAGATGTTTTTTAATCAGTGTTCTGGTACTGCATGGAGAAAGCACTAAAGGAAGGCACCATGTAATTGATGTCCTTAAAAAAATCTTACTGTCAGTGCAAAATACAGGTTTGTTCTCAGTGGTTTAGCTGGCTTTTAAAAGAGAGTAAGGAAAGATGCCATCCTGTATTTTTATAATCCTGCTGGAATCTTCCAGTGAGAAAGTGGGCAAATCTTACAGATAAAAAAACCTGCAAGACACATGGAAGAATAAAAACTCAGGAATACCAAAAGACACACTGAGACTTACCAGCAAGCCTGAACTCCTGCTAGATGTTTTGTATTTTTAATTGCAAATCCCAAAGTGTCAAGCACAGCTCAAGGGGCTCTCTGGCAATCACCCACTGCATTCCCCATTTCACTGGGCTGCAGAGCAGCAGGAGCAGAGATGTTCGTGCAGCACCTCCCAAAGCCAGGGCTCTGTGCCTGCCCAGGTGTGAGCAGGACACAGCCTTACCTGTCTGGTGAGGCTCCCCCCCAGGTTCATGGTACCAGAGCCAGTTTTGTTGGTCTGCAGCCACAGCATCACTGTGGAGGTCAGCTTGTAATGGGCAGTGCGGCCACTGGACTTCTCCTGCACGTGCAAGGGGACAGAGAGGGACAGAAACAGAGGTTACAATCCCCCCTGTTAGCGTTCAAAAACACATAATCACGGGGATTATATGCTGTGCTTTTTATTAAGAGCTCTAGGAATCGGGGGATATTCAACCCAAATCTGACTCCGACCATACATCCGAAATGATCATGTTTTATACTCTATCGTTACATAACTTTCATGTTCATTATTAAACTTATATTGTTCTATTGTATACATAAATTTAGCCCCTCTCTGAATTTCCAACATAGTTTCTCACTATTCTTCTTATGGTTATATAATAATTACATTTAATTACTCAACAATCATCACATCTAACAATTATATAATTTATCATACTGCTTACGCAGGTGCAGTTGATCTGGGAAAGCACAAAGCCTAACATTTTAGATTCTATCTTTAACTTTTTCCAGGGTTCCACTATCACCCCTAAAGCTAAATGGGGGCTGGCACACCCCACAAACAACAGGCCAGGTAAGTCTAACCCCCCTCATGCAGCACAGGCTCTTACAGACAATTCTAAGTGTGCTTATTCCTCTAATTTTCCAAAGCAAATCTAGTTAGAGCAATTCACTCTCCTAATACCTTGTTTTTATTACCTAATTAGTGATATTTATCTGTAGCTCTTTATGTTAAAAAAAAACCCCCACATCTCAGGATCACATGCACAGAAAGTAACATACTTTCAATTCTTCTGGGATTCTTTTTGATTACAGCCCTGACTTATCTCTATCCAAATTGCTTCGGGGCATTTTCAAAAATTAACAAGGGAAAGAAGTTTACAGGCCTGACACAGTCTTGCATTGTTCAGTGGAACACCTGTGCTCCTTAATTGTCTGGAATTAACTGGGTTTTGTTTTCACTGGGGTGTATCAGCTCCCCAGAGGCTGTACCTGAACCTCCACCACGTGGATGGAATCCCAGCATCCCTTAATCTTCTTTGATCCATCTCCAGCTTTCTTAATGAGGATCACCCCAGCAAAGCCATGATCCAGATCCCAGAGGTAGACAGAGGAGACTCCACCTTCAAAATACCTGCAGGAGGCAACCCAGAGGCAAGTTAAAAGCAAGCAGGAGAGTCAGATATCAATAATAATCATCTTAAATAAGCAGAATTTCTAAGTCCTAATCCAGATTTGTTTTTTCTTTCAGGACAGCACACTCTCTCAGTTACACACCCAGAACACAGCACTTCAAATCACTTCATAATGCAGACTTTAATTACAAAACAACTGCACATGTCTCTGAAGGAGAATAAATGTCTGGTGAGAACCAGAGCTATTTACAGATTTCTACAGGACTTGAGCAAACAATTCCTCTGATTCCAATTACCTACAACAGCTGCTAAAAGCACGAGCTACAAAGTGGGCTCAGAGTAAGGCTTTATTTTACAATCTGGTCTTTTTCCCCTCTTCTCCCTTGCTATTGGCAAAGTCTGGAAGTTCTTTACAGCAAAGTTCACTAATTAAGACAAAAGGGAGCAAGTAAGTAACTTTATGTTGCTGTCTCAAAGTCTGTGTGAAGCTGACATTGATTTACTGCAAAGGGAGCTGAACTGGAACCAGGATCTCAGAAATGCAGAGATGCTGTTGAGGTTTTATTATTCCAGCATCAGGTATGGGGAACTAGAGAAAAGCCAGACTGCCTCAATCTCAGGTGTCTTTTGCTGAAAGTAACTCAGAAAACCAACAAAAAATGGGATCTGCAGAGCCCCACTCCCTGTGGGTGACACTGGTGCAGATGGAAATGCACTTCATAAAATAATGGTAAACAACCCATCTGTTGGAAGAGAGGAGGAATTCTGTCTTCTAGAAAACTGGAATTGCAACCACAGCATTTTATCCCTTCCGTTCTCAAGTTAGCAAAGCCATGAGGAGGATGAAGGAAAAGGGAAGAATAAAAACTCCTTCATGGCACACAAGGATCATGTGAAAGGGGGAGAGGAAACCTCATAAACTTCATCAACAACACAAAATGTTGGTAGTCAGACTTTTCATTGCCTGCAGGAGGGCAAAATCTCCTTATCCAAAGGCATGAGGAGCTGCCAGGAGTGCAGATTAACCTGTCTGCATCCTGCCTGACTGTCACACACACCTGGGAGTGACCATCACTCCTTCTGCCACAGAGGAAATCATCCCTCCTGGCCAACATGAAAAATCATCAACCCTTCCCACCTCTGTGCCTCCCTCCTTCCTAACCCTGGGCCTTCCAGTTGGGACTGGTGCTTAAAAGGCAATTTAGTGCAATTTGGAGTGCATGGATTACCCCTAAGCACATGGATTAAAGCACACCAACCCCTCCCCTGCCAGCAGGCAGGAGAAAAGGCACTGCAAGTGAACCCCAGTGACACCTCCAGCACTTCCAGCACATTCCCTGCACCCACAGACCAGCTCAATCCCTTGTTTCCAGAGGGCAGAGTCACCCAAGAGCCCCAATGCCCTTTAACTGCAGACACCCAAACCAATGCTGACCTCAGGGAGGTAAATAATTTCCTATAAACTCACCACAGCCTTTTCTTTCTAATGGGTGCCTCTGCCTCTCCTGGCCAAGCCCAGCCCAGGCAGTTCAGGACCCACTGTCCTGGGGCATTGCCAAGCACTGATAACAGCACTGGGAAAGCAAAGCCCAGCCACACTGAAGCCAGGCTTCCACCAGGCAACTTCCACCTAACAAACCAACAAACACCCTCTTTGCACCCCCTGGGGAATTCACAAATGGATTTTGGATAATGCAGTTAAATTCCAGTCCTGCAGTGAACCTCAGCTCCAACCTAAGCCACCCTTCCTTCGGCAGTGGGAATCAGAGGCCAGAGAGAAGCAGCTATTGTCCCTCCTCAGAGTCAGATTGGTTTAAAAATATATATAATATATCCTTTTTCATCTACAGAATCAGTGAATTCACTCCAAATGAGCTGGCAGTCACTGAGAACATTGCAGTGTGCACAGACAGTTTCCCCATTACCCACTTTATGACCTTGCTACGAGCATGAAACATTAATTAAGAGAGGGACCGAAACAAGGTTTTGGGAAATTTCTTCTTACCTACTGTACTTTGATCCTAATGACATGAAACAGGAAAAAAATAATCTTTATGTGGTTCACCTTTATGAGATTTTACATAAAGGCTTTTGTGGGTATTTTAAGAATGTGCTAAAATGTTGTCTGAAACCACATGAAGCCATGTGAGGAACCTCCCGCCAGAACCAACAGCGCACACATGGAAACGCTTTCAGTGCCTTTGGAGATCTAATGAATCAAATATAGAATTAATATTGTTTTAAATACCAACATGCACTTCCAATAAAGCTGCTCTGCCATGGCCAGGCCCAGGAACTGGAGGCTGGAGCAACAATGCCAGTGACTGAATCCAAGGCACGCCAGGATTTACATTATCCAAAGGCTCCCAAATCCCCTCCTCCTTCATGGGGAGGGAATAAATACAACTGATCACTGCACTGCCTTTCACCTTCAAACAGCACTGAAGTGGATTTCTGAACCTCTGAAAGTCACTGTTGGATATGAGGGGAACATTCCTGTTTTTTTAAATAAAAATAAAGAGGTGCCACAGGCTAATTGGTCCATAATAGAAAACTGGATGATAGATTGGGAGGAATTTAAATTGACATTGGTGGATTTGGATTTGCTGCAGGAGGGCTGGGCTCCCTCCAAGAAACCCCTTCACCATGGACTGAAATGCAGCATGTACTAAAATCCAAGCAGGAGAGGAACCAGCTTGGAAAAGGCCCCAGGAAGGCACAAACTGGGACCTTCTCTGGTAAAGAAACAGATGGAGAAGGCAGAGCACAGCCCCAGGATCACACACAGCTCCTGCACTGAACATCTCCTGCCTCAGTGTCCTGTTGAGATGTCCCTGCCCTGCTCCTCCTGCACAGCTGTGCCTGGAGAAGGCAATCTGTCTCCTCTGGGAGCTGCAATCACAGAATCCTCGAGGCTGGAAAAGCCCTCTGAGGTCACCAAGCCCAACCTTGAGCCCAGCACCACCACGTTCAGCACCAACCCACACTCCCCACAGGTTTTCCGAACACTTCCAGGGGTGGGGACTCCACCACTGCCCTGGACATCCTGTTCCAATGCTTTACAACCCTTTCCCTGAATTTTTTTTCCCTAATATCCAACTGAAACCTCCAGGAGCTGGCACAAGCTGGGAGGCCATTTCCTCTCATCACCTGGGAGAAGAGACCGACCCCCACCTGGATGCACTGCCCTCTCCCAAAACAACCAGCAGATGCTTTTGGGATGCTCAGGAGGCCTCAGGTAGGAGCAATTCCTATTGTGGTGCCTCAGAAACACCCCAAGGGACAAACCATTCTCACGGGACAGCTTCAGAGCAGAGCAATCACTGCTCCCTGCCTAAGGACACCGATCGATCCAGGATGTTCCAGCCAAGATCAATCAGGTTTTACCTACAGACAAAACTTTGTTATAAAACAATGAAAATTTGTTTTATGGTTGTCATATCCATTTATTAACAAGAAAAACACTGATATCATAGTTGATAACTATGATAAATGATATCATAGTTGGGTTCAGTTAGAAGGACCTCACAAGATCATCAAGACCAAGTGACATCCCTGTCCTTGGAGAGGACAGCCAGGGCTCTATCTCTGGGAAAATAACTTTTATAAGGCTGCCCAGGAAGGTGACTAAAAGGCAAAAGGCCCAAAGCAATCATTCATTCTCTTCACAGAATTCAGAACAGCAGTTCACTCAGAATCAATTATAGTTTTAATGTCATGATCAAACACTGAGGTTTTATATCTGTTACTCATCAACCACAGAACTCCTGGAAAAAGCTGTTTTATACAAAAAATGTCACACTTAAGACCGACCTACTTTACAAATGCAAGAATAAAAGAAAATATTTAAGCTAAGAGTGATCCAAAGCTTTATGAAGTGTTTGAAGTTGGAGCGGGTGGAGGCACAGGATGGAAACTTGTCTGAGGAGCAGGAGCTGGACCCATGAAATAGAGGCTGTGGCCAGAACAAAGCTGCAACTTCAAGAGGGATGTGATAGGGGAGGAAATCCCCAGCTCCCAGCACAGCCCTCAGGGAAGCAGGGCACATTAATCACTTTGGTTCAGCACTGAAGGACAGCCCAGGAAGGCCCCATGACCCTCCTGATAACGTCCCTCCCCTCCCAGCCTCACCAAGAGATCCTGGCCACTGTGTGGAGAAAATGACTTTCCACCACACAGCAATAAAAACAAGCTCTGACTTTCAATTACACCTCAGAACCAAATCGTTCATCCATAAAAACATTTGTGTATTTTCCAGTAAGCAGCTGAGAGCCAGAGACAAAAAGTCTGTGGCTTATGGCTCTCCCAACCCCCTGATGCCAAAGCACCAGCACCTGGAACCTCAGCCTGGCTCTGAAACCTTCCAAAGCTTGCACAGGGTTTCAAACTGGCTCATTTAAAGTAGAAAAATATATTTTCTTTTATTCCCTAAAGGTCACCTAGTTATTTCTTCCAGCTCCAGAAGCTCAGCACAGAAAGGGAAAAGTCTCCAGCTATTTACATCAACAGACTTCCAAGAAAACTGGCACTTAAAAATTCTACCCCAAAGGAAAATACTGAGCATTCAGCTCACATGTTTTTACAAGAGTGACAATGACTGAAGTCACAGCGTGAGCAGCTGGTGTCTCACAGCAACCCTAAATGCAAACATTTCCTAAATGCTGAGGTGAGGAAGCACATTCCAGCTCTCCTGGGAGCAGGAACTGGAGTGCCAAGTGACAACTCCCACCCTGTCACCTCCAGCCAGCACAGGAATCACAACTGAAATATGAAGGAAGTGGCAAATTTGAGCAACCCACCTTTCATCAAACCCCAAACACTGCTCAGGTGTTCAACAAATGCCCTGCAACCTCACAATCAAGGAGGAGGAACAGATTCTTCAGGAGATCAGCTGTCCCTCAATAATTGTTGCCTCCATGCAGCTGTGACTGCTGAGGCTCAGGATCCTTTAATGAGGGGACAGGAATGAGCAGGATGTGACACTGCTGGGAGCCCAGGG